GAGTGAGGTTACCGGAGGCCCAACTACCCCCCTCGCTATTCTCCCGAGTCCCCGAATCCTCTACAATCCTCAAATTCTCAATTTCCAAAAGGCCGGTAACGCACTTGTAACGCCTTGGTGTTTCGGGTGTCCATGGGCGGCGCCGATTGCCTACCATCAGGTGATCCGTCTGCTCGTTTACCGGCTTATGCTATAAAAAAAAAATATGTTGATAACTGCAAGTGGTGTATTTTTTTTACTATCTTGAACTGGATAGATATTCTTTAGTTTTTGTCGCAAACTTTTCTATGATAGATACGAAAATTTAAAAGTCGAGATAGGCTTTATTGAGATTCAACTTCAATTTTCATTACCGTAGCACAAAGACTAGATTCCTAGGTACTTTTGACACGTCCCTAATGGCGGACTATCAGAAAATCTCTTTACATCAGTCTCGTAGATCAGTCGAAACTTGTAGAGATAACTTTAAATAATACAAAGTGAATCGTATCAAAAGAACAATCCTTCATAACAACATATTTATACTTGTATCTTAAAATCTCGACTCGAATGGTCAACCTTTCATCGAGTAATTGTTTTAGCGCAGAGCAAAAAGGCCATGGGTCAAGGTGCCTACCGATGGGCATTGTTCAATTAATCTGATCACCAGAGGTCACTTCCCGACTGACTTCAGTCAAAAACTGATTAAATTGCTGATAGAACTGTTGCAAAATTGGCCGAGTCATAGGTGCCTAAGTACTCGTTGCCACTCAAAGCTAAAATATATGCTTACCGACAAGGGCGAACGTGTTAAAGTTCACCTAATTACTGATAAGTAGTGATTAAACTGTGAAAGGCTTTTGGTTTAGTATCTTAATTTACCAAAAAACGAAAGCTTTGCGTGAATTCGCAGATTAACGATAACATGATTGACTACGGTACTAACGATAACTTACAAGTTAGACCGCAATTTTACGACTTATGTTCTTGGAGTTGAGTTAACTGTGTAACTGTATCTGTGTTTATCATCTCAAACAAATAACAGGATTTTAGTAATTAACTAAAAATTACGTGAGTTACTTACGTAGATATACTAAGAAAAGCTCTACTAATTTCGAGTCACAGAGGGACTCTTCCTCATGAGCAGCATGTGCGATCGCGGCGATGTCTCATAACTTACTGAGACTCTTCCTGAGGTCCTATGTCTCACGATAGTTATTGTAAAACAAGACTTCTAGTAACTTTATAAGTAGCAGAAAACAAAAACTTAGCTTAGTCTGTGTAAAATTCGGACTCTTACTCGGCGTTACGTAATTCTGATAATATCCTATTTGATCCATGACACAATACAGATCACGTTACACACGCCAATTAAACAATTCAGCGACCAATCATATCAAGGTAAACCCAGCGATTTCTCAGAACAATACAAATAACTTAATAAAAAGTTAATCTAACCAGTTACTATTCAATATTAACCTTTCAAGTGCGTGTGAGTTGTCAAAACATGACGAATGGTATGTATTATGGGCCGGACAAAAGACTGCTATTAACTAACCTACTGAGACACCTTGACCTACCGGTCGGAGTGTTGGACGATGAATGGGCTGCTTACGTTCTATGCTGGTGTTGTAAAAGCATGCAAAATGAATTTTTCAGGTTTTCAGACATAGATGTTTTGAATGACACTCATAATTTTTTAAATAGGTACAACTAAGGTTTACAAGCTGTTTGGGAAAGGGCCATCGTAGCCTATGTACTGCTGCGACATTAAATACGCGAATCACAAATGAAAACTCGTTTTTTTAAGAACCTCATGCTCCATGCTCGGCCGGAAATCCGCGTAAGGAGACTTGTTCAATAACGTGAGTATCGTTAGAAAACATTTTCAAACTATATATAAGTGCTAAGAATGTAAATAGGTACTCACAAAATTTTCAATACTATTGAATATAAAGTAAATAAACAGAGCCCAATAACAGACCAAGACAGTTCCTTTATTTAACGGCCCACCGGTTAAATATTATAAAGTTCATACAAATGTAAAGGTTAAAGATATTATCAGTACCAGTTCTATGGAATATCATGATGGAAGCAGTTTATTTGGTTATTATATGAAGCAGAATTGAATATTTTTATGGGACAAGCCGGTAGACAGGCAGACGGATCACCTGGTAGTAAGCAATTGGCGCCGGCCGTGGACACCCGAAACACCACCGGCGTTACAAGTGCTTTGCTGATGCTAACCTTTTAGGGGTAGGGTTTAGGAATTTCATTATTGGAGATTCAGGGATTGGGGGTACTGAGGACGGGGATAATTGAGCCTCCGATAACCCCACTCACACGACAAAACAAAAGGTAAACATTGTTTCACGCCAGGATTCTGTGAGGCCATGGTACCACTCCGGTCGAGGCGGCCCATTCGTACCGAATCATGGCTCTCCCACACTTAAAAGCAGGAAATCTTACTTCTAGGAAATCCTATAATATAATAGCTTGTAATTATGTATATTTAAGAACTACCTAATAAAACTTTCTTCGTCTTTCTAAAATCAAATATCCGTCATAATTTCTCTTGGTACTTAAATATAATGTATGTACAATAATTAAATTTTTATGTGTCCTCCCACGAACGATCCTCAACTGAGAGTGTACTTTGATTCGTGTGAACAAAAGCTCAGGACTTCAACAACTCAAAATAAAAAAATTGAGGATCCAGTCTGGAAGCACCTCTTTAACTGACCGTATCAACCATAGATATAATAAAGAAATATTTCTATGGTATTGACTGATTCGATTTTAACTCGAATCCTTTACCACAAGAAAAATTCATCTAGGCTCCTAAGAGGAGACAAAGTATTTCAAACCTGATTTCATAATCAAGAAATCAACTGTACACAGGACTTCATTAAAAAACTTAGTGTAAAGGAAAATTTGTCAAGTTGGTACCAAGTTCAATTCTTTGCTTCTACAATTTAAACAACTTTCTCAAAGCACCTGACTTAAAAGCTTTTCCAATATGTTACTCAACGCTTGCACAATAGACCTACATGTGCTTATGCACAATTATTGCAAGCCTGACAAAGCTGCTCGGCCTTCAGCTACCACTGCATTGCATACCTTTTACTACATTTCCCTTTTTTGAACAAACTTTTTGAAATAACTTAGCCACAAGCCTACTTCGCCTGGTATCCTACAATTCCTACACCTAGGTACAGTTAATACAGTGTTTAATTTAGTCCTACATTTTACTAAGGATGCGGCCTATACCTATACACAAAGCTTATAAAATGCCTACACAATCCATTTCGTTTGAATTTCTTAAAGTTTATCCAGTAGCGTAATTCCCGTAGCGAATCATCGGATGGACCCCCGTTTCCAATAAAAAACAGAAGTTTAAATGAAAAATGCTCTGAACGGGGCTCCTTCTAGCTGGAGGCATTTTGCTGACTTGCAACCCTGTAGTTACGCCACTGGTTCTAGCCGTAATAATTGTTCGCTCTAAATCGCCTACCTATTCCTCGTACATTAACTTTGATTAACATTTTGTTACGGTTGCATATGAATGGAAGATCAACTCCATGCTTAGCACAGTGATTGGGCACTAGCAGCTTTTGCTACAATTCAATTCTTTGTGATCCTTCGATTCTAATTCAGGGTTGAGATTTCTTCAGCCAAATGTTAGTACGAGTTAAAGCTTTTATTCTGCTGGCTTAACTACAAACGTCACAAGCAAACACCACGCCGGAAACCGAAAACCATTAATTTAGTTGTGTCGTCACCCGTCCCTACGTTCGATCATTTGAAATCATAACTGATATTATTATGATCTACGAGTACATTAGACCGCGTTGGCGAGCGACTCTTGCGCAACTAATTATATCATGAGTCCCTAAACGAATGTTGACGTAAGAAAGAAAGCGATGTCCTTAACCGGAGCTATGCGCATGCGCTCTGAATTGATAAGGCCAGTTGAGCCATGAATTGCCACATGGAATTTGGAAATACCGCAATGACAAGAGTTTATTTTGCAAAATCTAGTTAATATTTTGGGTATTCAGTTTAGAGATTATCTCTATAGATTTATAAATGTAGGTCATTTATCTAATTATATAGGTTTCATTAAAGATTTTAAAAAGCACCAATGTCTGCCCATTTTCTTTCCAGAACTGACACTAGTACCTACAGCAATTCTATTATGAAATATTTAAACAACTATGATTTAAAATATAGATCACGATATCTTCTTACAAGTTCACCCTATTAAGTGGAACTCTTTTGATCTGGCAACCCAGTCATCGTGTGTACCTACTGTATAATAAATAAAGAATGCAAGGCACACATCTGAAAATTTAAAGGAATATAGGTCAAAATTCATATTTATATGACTAATATTATAACAATCCAATTCATATTCTGTTCGTGAGTAATAGTCATGAAGTCCTTGAGTACTTTATGAAATGAAATAATTTCAGGTGGCAGTAAACTTGAAAGTTATTGAATGTAACTATTATACAATCAGTTCCAGTTCATTGTTGCCTTGTAGGTATTCACAAATGAAAAAATATCTAATTATTGATTGAAGCAAAGTCCTTAGATACATATAGATAGAATGTAAGAACTTACGAGTATACCTCCAAAACTTTCTCATTTCTATTTTAAAGTTTTATCCGTATGCAAACAAAATATTAGTTAACTTCTCAGACTTCTCTCAGCAATGTTTTACCATCCTCGAGAACGCCTGATAAGTTAGATTAGTTTGTTGCAAATACGTGCTTGATAAATTATATTATTGAAGGCGCCATGGTAGGCGCCATCAATTTTCGTATTTGCCTTCTGAAGGTTAGTGATAAAATTGTAAATGATAAAGCTGTACAATATTTTATACTATATTTTATTATAACGAATGTGATTAACTTCGACGCAACGGGGTACGAACAAAATTAATGGCAACATTAAAAAATCAATAACCATTAAACAATGTCAACAATAAAATAGCAACACTACAATTAAATGTCAGCGTTCACGTCAAAATTGTAAAAATAATGCTTTCATTCGTTTCACATGGAATTTAGTTTATAAATAAAGATAGAAAATAGGCTTTGTCCTAATTAAACAACTATAACTTCCTGTGCTAATACTACCCATGTATTAGAACCTTCTATAAAGTGCTAATTTCAGTGCAGAACGAGGTTTGTTTCCTAACAATATTGTGTTCTCAATTCGCTATTCTTTTGCAAAGTATTTGTTTGGGTCTTGAGAATTGTTAAATAGTAATTGTTAACATTTTTACTACCTAATGTATTCTACTAACAAGATTACTTTATGTAGATAAGCAATACATGATAATCTTAGGGTTTTTGGCTTTACAGGCATAAAAATCTAAGTTCATAATGTCGATGCCACATAGCAGCTCAAGCACGACAAGTTCCAGTACAAAACGCAAGGAGATATACAAGTAAGTGATAAAAACTCCTTGGTACTTCCAATTACAGCAAATAAATTTAAAAAGTTTGACGCCACACACACTGTTATCACCATGTGAATCAAAGTCCATGTTATAATATTGAAATTACCATAATGATATACGTATATCTAAGTTTATATGCCACAGATAACAAAAACAGATTAAGTATAAACTTCTTAATATTCACTGGTATGTGATATTCATAAGTTACATATGGCAAACTGCTTGTGACTATTAGCAATGTAATCTCAACAAAATGTCAAGATCACTCACCATTACATATTCAAATTAACTCCTATGTTTATATCATTGATATAATTTGACAATAGGTCTTACCAAGGATGTGGTAGTCACTTCATGTAAAATACTGACATGAATCTAGTTAAGATTTGGTTATAAAATTGATTTCATATTCATTTGAAGAATTGGGTTTATGTATTAAAAAATAATACCTAATAAGGTAATGTAAAAATGTCCATTTTGTGTCTTGAGTAACCTATTGATCAATGCTTAGATAGTATTTTTAAATACTGGTTTGTACCATATCATAGTTTACCTATAAAATATGATTGTTCTCAGATACCAGGCACCATGGCCGCTGTACTCAATGAACTGGTCTGTACGACCTGACAAACGGTTCCGTCTCGCACTTGGTAGCTTTGTTGAAGAATATAATAACAAGGTGAGTTCTACCTTGTTAACATTTTTATAGAGATATACCTAAACACTATGCAGTAAAATAAATAACAAAACTAAGAGTATATCTAGCAGCACCTAATAGCGCTGTTCTGTTTTTTTTATGGAATATATAAGCCGGTAAACGAGCAGACGGATCACCTGATGGTAAGCAATCGGCGTCGCCCATGGACACCTAGAACACCAGAGGCGTTACAAGTGCGTCACCGGCTTTTTGGGGATTAGGATTTTGAGGATCGTTGGGGATTCAGGGATTGGGGAGATTGGGGAAGGGGAAGGTAATTGGGCCTCCGGTAACCTCACTCACACGACGAAACACAACGCAAGCGTTGCTTCACGTCGGTTTTCTGTGAGGCCGTGGTATCACTCCGGTCGAGCCGGCCCATTTGTGCCGAAGCATGGCTCTCCCACACTTCTGTGCTTCTATCTTGTTGCTGTTACTCATCATTGATTTAAACCTGTGACCTGGGGGGTTAAAGCTTACTCTTGAATTGAATTCTGATCAATCAACATTTGTATTGTGAAATTTCATACTCTTGAGTTGCAACACTACACTAGCGCCCATTGCATGGCCCATTAATGAACTAAATGGTATTGAGTTTGGCTTTATATTCCGTACTCTGAATGCTATTTTAACAGCTATGATAGAGGTATAGTTTTGACATTGGGTAATTGAGATTTTATTGGATTGAAATTGCATTGACATTGAGATTGGTTTTAAGAGTAAGCACACTGATGCAAAACAAATGTAGAAGATCCAACAGTCAAACTATTTATGTATAGTTTTGTTGGACATGGCGTTAGATTGTAAGGCATATCATGTACCTTTTACTATTCAATAAATAAATAATAAAACAGTGTCTCCATAGTCAGAATTTAGTTACAATTACATTCTGGAAGACCACAAAAGTGGTGTATGTCTAGCATTAGACCATAATAAGAAAACTGTGGTTGTGATATATTATTTGTATCCACAGGTACAAATAATATCTCTAGATGAGGAGACAAGTGAGTTTAGTGCCAAGAGCACATTCGACCACCCATACCCCACCACTAAGATCATGTGGATCCCAGACAGCAAGGGAGTCTACCCTGATCTACTGGCGACCAGTGGTAAGTCTGTGTTCCCTAATAAATAAATACTACTGTTGCAAAATGTAGAAATAATTATGTTGAGTTTTTAACCGACTTCAAAAACAAAAAAGGGGATTCTCAGTTCGACCTGTTGGGCGCGATTATCTCGCGATTGGCTGAACCAACTTTGATGCAGTTTCCAGAAAAGTGTTTGTTACGCCTAGAAGAAGGGTTTAGTATATTAACAGACGTCAAAAAAAGCATATATACGGTCGAATTGAGAACCTCCTCCTTTTTTTCAAAGTCGGTTAAAAAAGAGGGATTGAAGCCGGTTTTTTTAAACGTAGTTTATAGAAGAATTATGATTTTTATTTACAAAAAGAATTTGTCAAATGAAAAGTTAAGGAGTCAGATTTATCGAACTAGCAAACCAGTGTAACTTTACCGCAATTGCTATAATTTATCTTTTATAAATATATATATATATATATTATGAACTTTGTTCAGGCCTATAAAGTCTGTTCTTGTTGATAAAGACTACAACAATGAAAGAATTATTTTGTTGTCAAAAATAAAACTTTCGTCGTTAATTGGAATTTATCGAACATACCCGACCAGTTTCGAACCTTACCGGGGCTTTTAACCATGAGCTATAAAAAATTTATTTGTATTTTCTTTATAACAAAAACCTCAGCATTAACTCATCAAGAATAACAAAATGACACCTATCCATGTTATCTATTGTGGTGACCCGGAGGTTTAAGACGCCCGCTTCTCATGCATGAGGTGGTGGTTCGAAACCTACCAACGGCAAGTACTAATGTGACTTTTTCCGAGTAATATGTACTTTCTAAGAATATCTAGACACCACTGATAAACCGTGAAGGAAATCATCTTGAGGAAACTTGGGCTTATAATTTCTAATTATAAGTTTGTAATCGCCAACCCGCATTGAGCAAGCGTGGTAATGAATGCTCAAACGTTGTCCGTGTGAGAAGAGGCTTTGCTCAGTAGTGGGCATTTATAGGCTGTTGATGATGATGATGTTACCTACCAGACACCACTAACTAAAGTCATCTTCCAGGTGACTACCTTCGCATCTGGCGTGCTGGGGAACCATACACTCTCTTCGAATGTGTACTGAACAACAATAAGAACTCAGATTTCTGTGCCCCGCTCACATCATTTGACTGGAATGAAGTAGACCCTAACCTCATTGGCACCAGTAGCATTGACACGACTTGCACTATATGGGGACTGGAGACTGGACAGGTGCTCGGCAGAGTCAACGAGGTGTCTGGCCATGTGAAGACACAACTTATTGCACATGATAAGGTATGGTGTGACTTTATTGACAGTGTTTTGTTAATTTTCCAATAAGTTTGAAAAGCTTTGATACAATAGATAATTCTTTACTTGGAAACCATTTTCTTAATAAATCCAATCACTTTTTAGTGAATGGCGTTTCTTGCTTTTGTTCCATTTGCACTTTCAAACGAGTAAGGCCCGGCGCCCACTATCGGCATCGGCACGCCGAGGATTTTAGGTAGCAAATAGAAATATACATTAACATAATGGCAATAAAGTAGAAATTGCCGTGCATATGGTCGTAATAACAAAAATACCGCTTGGGTATGCTTGAGGCTGCTGTATTGGCAGCCTTGAGAATCTTTCGGGATGCTTCGGCATTCGGTCAGTCGCCGGATTGATTGATTACATTTCTCTTCTTCTTCAGCAAGAGCTGCTATGAGCACTAGATCCCTGTCCATCATAAAATACATCTCAGACAACTAGCTTGTAACAACTCTGAGACTGTGAGATGACGAGAAATACGATATTGAGACGCATCGGCATGATTCAGGACGGTGCGCCATGCTTAAGGACGCCTCGTCATCCTTAAGAACGTTCCAGCATGCTAAAGCAAAGTTTCCGACAGTGTGCGCTTGCATGTAAGATGACGAAGGATCCTTTTCCTTGCCGATGCCGAAAGTGGGCGCCGGGCCTAAGTAATTTCTATAATTCACTGTTATTATAAATATTTTTGTTTTGACTTAAGTGTTATCTAGATCTTGGCAGGGATCCATAACTACCTAATCTCGTTTGGTTCGTGCAGGAGGTGTACGACATCGCCTTCAGTCGCGCGGGCGGTGGACGCGACATGTTCGCGTCGGTGGGAGCTGACGGCTCTGTACGGATGTTCGACCTGAGACATCTCGAACACTCCACTATAATTTATGAGGTAACACACAATAATTAATAATTATAGGAAACTTCAATAACGCCCGAAAACTGAAAGGCTACTAAGTTATAAGTAGTACTTAAATATCGCGGCATCTCTATCATTTTACAAAGAATTTGTAGAGACAGAACTACATTTAAGCCCAACTTAATAGAATGGAAAAACTTGATGTAGGTGTGCAAATAATTCTTGAACTTTTGTCTAGCACAGCTAAATATTAACACGATTTTTCTTGAAAGTACCTATCCCTAACAGAACTCGTCTATTTTAGTCAGACACTGAGTACAAACCACCCCTCCCACATGAGTTCAAGGACAGGAGTAGGAATGGGGTGATCTTTAGTCAGTACGAGTCTGACTAGAGGTATGTAGGAATCATAGCAATTCTCGTTCCATGGTCTCTGCCTAACCCCATGGAAGACAAGCGTGAAGTTATGTATGTAAGAGTCTGACACTCCCTGATACCTATACCCGGGCGGGACAAGCCATTGATGACATTCCCATTTGAAAAAGATAAGAAAGGGATTCTACTGCCGCCGACTCATGAAACACTGATCTCCTATCCACATGTCGGTTTTGAATCAGTCCACCTGTTGTCCGCAGGACCCCCAACACACGCCCCTGCTGCGGCTGGCGTGGAACAAGCAGGACCCGAACTACCTCGCCACGGTGGCCATGGACGCCTGCGAGGTCATCATACTCGACGTCCGCGTCCCCTGCACGCCCGTCGCCAGGCTCAACAACCACCGCGCCTGCGTCAACGGCATCGCCTGGGCGCCGCATAGGTAGGTTATTGCAGATATTTCATTTTGGTGACATATTTAATGTGTCATTTATGTAAACTTGATGAATGTCCCTTGCATTTATTAGTCATAGAGTTCAGTTCAATTCTTACCCATACTTTATACTCATTGAAAAATACATATATATTTCTTTGGTCTAAAAATTGTCAGCTCGACTGCTAAGCAAGTTAACTTAAAGACTTCCAGATGAGCTTAAGTATATTTGGCATCTCTGATAATATTTCTAACAAAAATGACCATTATGTAATAACACAAGCCTGTAGGCTTGTAGATGTGTACATCCAAAGAACAATAACAAATATGACAATTTCCCTCCAGTTCATGCCACATCTGCACCGCGGGCGACGACCACCAGGCGTTAATATGGGACATCCAGCAGATGCCGCGCGCCATCGAGGACCCCATCCTGGCCTACACCGCCGCCGAGGGGGAGGTCAACCAGATACAGTGGGGCGCCACGCAGCCTGACTGGATCGCCATCTGCTACAACAGACATACTGAGATACTGCGCGTTTAGAGAACCTGAAGATGCTATTGGTTTCTGGTGCATAAGAATAATGGAGATTGTTATTTTTGTGATTTGTTTCGTTGATGACGTAAGTGGCACTGCAACCCGCAGCCTTCAAATTCGGCCACAGCTGTTAGGTAAGCAAACTTTTATCATGTTAAAAAATAGTTCAAGTAATTTTTTTTTACTTAGTTGATATTATAATGAGAAAATTATTATTATTATATTCAAATCGGTTTACTGTTTTCTGCATTAGTATAATGTCTATCTGTTCATGTTTCATTTAAATCTGTTCAGCAGTTTTTGGCCTATAGAGTACAGTACATACAACCTTCTATGGAAATTTAATGACTTGCATGTATGGTGCAACAAAAATAACTCATGAAAATAACTTCAATCTCTATATTGTCCTTGTACCAGGAACCACGATGATCTGATTAACTTGTAGTTAGATCGGTGTTTGTACCAAAGCGGTACCCCATACATTAACGAGCCCCCTATACACCTGCTTACCACCGCTTCAATGGGAATGATAATGTAAAAAGGAGAAATTAAAAATATTAGACATGTAATTGGATCCATTGACGACATAAACGATTCTATGCCATTTCGATGTATATGCCCGCGACTTCGTACGTGGAATCCCGTTTTTTTCCGTTTCCATTCGTGATTTTGGGTAAAAGAGTAAAGAAAGTCAATACTTTCTTTCAATTGTCCAATGGACAAAGAGTACAGAGTACTACGTCCGTCTCCTGGTTCTAAGCTACCTCTCCACCAATTTTCATCCAAATCGATTCAGCCGTTCTTGAGTTATAAATTTAATAGTGCAACTAACACGACTTTTTTTTAGGACATCAAACTATAGATCCATCTTTTGTCAATAAATTTTCTTTGTTGTATTTTCAACCCTATTTTTGGTCTTATAAGACATTTTTCCAGTTTCAAGTAGCTTTTTCTGGTATTTTTTTTATCTAAGTATTTTGTACATAGAAGTGACATCGTGATATTTCAAACCAATCTGTCGTTGGTTTTAGTAAGGAAAATTACATGTCCATTATTTTTTCACCATTGTTCCCATGACTTCCAACTGCGCTTACTTGTGGTACACTGTCACTTATTGTAGGCGATAACTTTACTTGGTCATATACATAACGATACTTTGAATTTATGAGCATCGGTCCTGGAAATCTATGAAAGACCACAGACCCTAACATTATAAACTATACCGCCTGTGTTTATAAGATAAAGCGGTTTAATCTCAACCATTATAATCTGGTTTTTGAAAATCATGAAAGCTTTGAAAGTCGGTTATTAAAGAGAAGTAATTTGTTTGATGTCGACTGATGATTGGGTATAGGTAATAATAATAATTATGAACTTGTATAGTATTGTAATACAACCGACTTTCTTAGCAAAAGTTACATACAAATTATATTGAAAGTGACGGTCAATTGTGAACGACCGTCATAAGATCGTGAACCTAATAATTGAATGTTATCATCTCTTTATCAAAAGACTGAAGGAAAAATTAACATTTCTAAATTTTACGACGTAACAAATTTTATTCAAAAATTATAAAAAAATAATATACAATTATCTGTTTGTATTTCTTGACGGGGCAATATTTAGAGGCTGATTTGCAATTGGCCAGATCTATTTTCGAACGTCCCCCTTCCAGACATACAAATTGCATTATTTGTATTTCTTTTTTATTTACTACCATTTTTGTAGCTAGGAGGAAACAGCCGAAACCGTTTTAAAAATTATTTAACTAAAGAGAAATTAATATTTTATTTTATTGTCAATGAAAGACTTGAATCCCCTAGCTACACATTATTTTGTTTCCATTCGCTCTTGATTGTGGAATTTAAACTTTATCTACTAGGAAATAGGGCCTAAAATCAGGTTGACCAAAAGCCCTGTTCCTATGAAATGTAGATAAATAAACAAATGTAAAAATTAACATTTTGTAAGTAGTGATTAAGTCTCCCTAAAAGTTGCATTAATAATAATACCATTCGCCGTAGTTGAGCATTCGTAATAAGCGACAATAAGCGCTGCGTACTTAATTATCTGTTAATAAAGTACGTGTGTCAATATAAAGACAATCTGTGTTAGTTGATTAGAAACCATAGAGTAAACTTGCATTTATGTAACTGCTGATTACTTGGCGTAGCTAATAAGAAAAGGTCTATATTGACGTAGAGTTGAATTGAGATTGGAGAGAGAGATCAGCGATTGGTTGGTTCGTTGAAGCAGGCCAATCAGAGGCCTTAGTTAAAGTTTGTATTACGAAAGTAATCGGAAAAAGACCGCGTTAGGCGCTCTGATTGGTTATTTTTTTTGAGACGGCCAATCAGAGCGTCGAAACCATACTCATTTCGATTACGTTAAACTTAAAACATTCGTAGGTACTAAGCCCTCAGATTCTGTGTAAACTATACTAGGATCACATAAATTTTTACATATTTTGTTAGCTACGCCAATATTTGGCGACCTGACAAAACCTATCGTGCTGTAAATCCCATGTGTGTAGGATTGTTCTTCTATGTATTTATCTTTTATTGTATTTATTTGTATGTTAATAGTATCTGACTTGAGCCAAATTGATGGGCAGATATAGCAATTAATTATATAAACGAATATTGTTTGACTGTGTTAATCAGAGAACCGCTAATATGTTATAGGACTTACGTTTTTAGTGAAAAAGAAATTCCTTTTTAAAATAAAAAAAATGTTTCAATATCAAACTTTTAATAAAAAAAAAACGATCACATCTTTTTCATTAAATGCCAGATGTGAGCAATTTATTATTTTAATCTAAAAACCGATATCGAAATAAAACATGTATTATTAAAGTTGATGTGATTAAAATAAGGACTAGATTTAATATTTAATTTATACAAATAGCTGTAAGTATTCTTATTAAATAAATGATTTAGAAATTAAGGCACTTATTATTAATCATACTTAAGTTATAAAAATGCACACATCACACTTTTTAGGCTTAAAAATATTAGCTTTTCAGAGTTAAATTCTCCACTCATCCAGATTTCTGTCCCAAAGCAAATTCTTGATAGACCTTCAACAGAGACTCGGGAGTTCTTGGCTTAAAATCTTTAAGCACATGTTCGAAATGCTCCATAGTCACTTCTGGACAATCCAAATCTTTCTCGAGAGCTCTTAGAGCAGCTTCATGACAGAGAGCCTGCAGCTCAGCTCCTGAAAACCCTTCTGTCTTGGTAGCCAACACATGAGAGTTAACATCATCACTAACACTCATTTTGCTTAATTTTAACTCTATTATTTGTAATCGTGTTTCAAAATCTGGAAGGGGAACGTAAATCAAACGATCCAGGCGACCTGGTCTGAGGAGCGCTCTGTCCATTCTGTCTGGACGATTAGTTGCTGCCAATATTGTCACAGAGTTCAATGGCACCACACCATCCAACTCTGTCAGTAGTTGAGCCAAAACTCTCTCATGTACACCAGCCTCGCCTGCTCCTCTCTCCCCTCCAATCGCATCCATTTCATCAAAAAATATAATAGATGGCGCAACCTGACGAGCTTTCGTAAACAAATCTCTGACAGCTCTCTCAGATTCGCCGACCCATTTTGAAAATAGTTCCGGACCTTTTATAGAGAGGAAGTTTAAACCACTCTCGGTAGCTAAAGCTTTGGCTATCATTGTTTTTGAGCAGCCAGGTGGTCCGTACAGTAGGACACCACCTGGAGGCCTGACACCGAGTCTTCGAAAACTTTCGGCATGCTTCAAAGGCCATTCCACAGCTTGACGTAACTTGAGCTTCAAATCGTCCTGTCCGCCGATGTCTGACCACCTAACATTAGGTATTTCAATGAGCAGCTCTCTCATAGCACTAGGCCTGACGATGGTCAGTGCTGCAATTAAATCATCTCGCTCAATGCAGTCACTGGACCGTTTTATGCACTTCATGGTAGCTTGTGTGCAGAGATTTACCAAATCTGCAGCCACATAACCATGTGCTAAATCTGCAATATTCTCAAGATCTTCAGAAGATATTTTGTTGGGGAGATTTTTGAGCAAACTGTAAACTATTTCTTTTCTCCTTATTCTGTCTGGTACAGGTATCTCTATTTCTTTGTCCAGTCTTCCAAAACGTCTTAGCATAGGATCTATGTTTTCTGGTTTCCTTGTTGTTGCTAGTACAAAAACTCTGCTGTTCTCCGAGTGTAGATTATCCAACATGTTCACAAAGGCTGAGGTAATTCTCCTTTCTTGCTCTGTACTGCCTGAAGACCTTCTGGGGCATATAGTTTCTATTTCATCAACTAATATGATACTTGGTTGGTTCTGCATAGCCTTTTCAAAAAGGCTCCTCATTGTCCCTTCAGTTTCACCAAAATATTTACTAAAGATGGCCGGGCCATTGATTTCTATATGGAAGCAGTTGAGATTTTCTATTAAGTATTTGCATATAGCTGTCTTACCTATTCCTGAGTGGCCATACAGTAACAAGCCCCTTGTTGGCTGGAAGCTTGCTGCAAGGCCATCCACGTTGAATGATATTTTGATAAAAGTTTGTATTTCTTCTAAAATATCATCGACACCACCCAGAGTTTGTGCCTTTTTCTTAGGTTTCGGTGCACTTTCCTTGTGCATGCTCCAAATACTATTTTCAGTTAGAACAAACCAACCCTTATGATCTACTGTTTCAGATTTTATATCTAGTACCTCAATTTCTAGTTTCTTACCAAAATAGTAGTAAACTAAAATGCTTCCACAACAAACAAAATTACTATAAAAATGTTGTTTCAAAATATCACAAATATCTGTTTCAGTTTTATGGTTGTTGAGTCTGACTGTGATGCGAGACACCTTCGGTATATCCTCCTGGACTACAGAGACTGTCACTTTCATACTGTCATTGCTCCAAGCACTGGATAGATCTGCAAACAAAATGACACTAACTTTAAACACTGTTACTGTCATCTTTAACTGTCTCACTGTCACACTCATTTATTTTCAGTGATACCTTTATCACTATTTAGTATTTTTTAATTTGACCATACCTATTATGAAGGGACTTAAGTCACCATCTGAGTTTGGCTTCCTTTGTACTCAAATTTATATTTAACATTTTGGAAAGATGCTTTAACTTACCAGCTGCTGGCAATATAACAGCGGCTGGAGCAGACGCTTTGGATGGCCACATTCGCTTCACCATCATAGGGGCGCCTTCTCTGCTTAACTGCAAAGGGCACCCGATAACTGCCCCAATCAGTGTTCCCGCGGATGGGTGCACAAGCACAGCGTCCCGAGGAGCCCCATCAGGAGCCACTCCTGTCCTCTGAAGCCAGGTAAACAACTTCCCGTCCTCAACGTATGGACATTTTAACTGATCTTTCCCACAGTTTAATTCAACGTGTATATTCTTATCATTGGAGGTTATGCTACAACCACAACGCTCGCAATCGACCCATAATGTTTTCTTTGGACCTTTCGGCGGCATAGTTACACAGAAATGCAAATAAAATGTTTCAAAATAAAGTTTTATTCGATCACACTACAAAAGTGAGGTTATTAAAGCTGTCACTGTCAGTCAAATGTCAAGATAAGTATTATATTATGAGAACCAGCTGTGAATTAAACGCGAAGATCTTTTTTAATACTTAATCTTAATCTTCTTAATCTTAATATTTTTTAATACTTGTATAGATCATATCATATTCTACATACCTACGTATGGAGATTGGCAAATGACAAATATACATAAAATAAAAAGTAAATGTTGCTTTTTACGTCTGTACAAAACGGAACGTATATTATGAAACGTCACGAACGTCAAACTGTAACTGACAATTGACAAAAATGACAAATGACAAACTGCCTCTGCATCTGTCTGTGATTCATGATTTATTTCATATTCCTTGCAAAAATAAAATTTATTCACTTTAAATGTTCTTTATTTAGTTAGCTGTGTTAAGTTAATCCAGTGACTACAGTGAGCAGCTATTAGCTGGTATAAGTTAGGCTTACTGCACTGGAACCGTAAAATATCTGCCAGGATGACTCTCGCAGAATTCTTCAGTTGTTCCCTTCTTGCTTTCGGGGCTCCATTGGTCATGTTCGCGTTCACAGTGGCTAATGACCCCGTTCGCATCATCATCATGATAGCAGCAGCATTTGGGTGGCTTCTATCGTTTTTACTATCATCCTTAGTGTGGTATGCAGTTGTGCCATTACGATCATACCTGGCGTTTGGAATGGTCTTTGCTATCATTTTCCAGGTTAGTAACTATTATTACAACATGTTGTAATGGAAGAGGTGAATTTATAACACCTTGAAGATGTTCAGTGACCCAGCTACCATACATTTAGACACAAACCAGTGACAAACTAACTTTTTGGTTTGGACCCTCATTCTTGTCTGTGATAATACTGAAAGCTCTAAAATATTTAACACCAAGATATCATGCAACCATATTATTTCAGTTTAGTAAATATTATTATTTTATAAAAATGAGAGAAACTCATAATGCAGGAAACAATTTAACTAGAATCAATCTGACAAAATAAGAAAAAGAATCATTTCTATTTTTTTACATTTAATTGCCCTAATGCCATGTTTCAGGTGACTCTTTCATTAAAACCTACCTACCTATTTTAGGCATTTTCATAATGTCAATAATTCATTCTTATAATAATTATAAAATAACTTTTCCTATTCAGGAAATATTCCGATATGGCATGTATGTCCTACTCAGAAAGACGGAAGCTGGTCTGAAGGAGATATCAGAAAATCACAATATTGGGAGTAATAAGCTAGAAATGGCATATGTATCTGGCCTCGGCTTCGGCACAATGAGTGGAGCCTTTGCCCTCATCAATGTTCTAGCTGATTCTGTAAGTATTTGACTAGCTATTAACCTTATCACAAAGTCTAGAAGATCAGTTTACTGAGCAAAATTTTGTAACCCATTCCATAACCAACCACACCTTGAGGTCAACAGACACATTTAATTTCAAATTGAAATCTAAATGTAATGTAAATTTTAAATTTTATTTAAAATTGTTTTCCACTTTCCAGGTTGGTCCAGGAACTTTAGGCCTCCACACAGGCACCGAGTACTTTTTCGTGACGAGCGCTGCCATGACACTATGCATGATATTACTCAACACATTCTGGAGTGTCATATTCTTCAGTGGATTTGATGATAAGAACTATGTCAAAGTGGGATGGGTCATAGTATCACATTTCTTTGTCTCCGGACTCAGTCTTTTGAACAGTAAGGAGTTATATGCAGCTACAATCTTGCCATCATACATAGTTTTAGCGATCACAGCCTACATTGCCTTCAAAACAGCTGGTGGCTCAGCCAGGAGTCTCATGCAAAGTATTTCCTCAAGATCATAGAAATAAGTTATTCAGAATTTGTCTTGAAGAAATTATTAGACTGCGCTGAGAAATTATAACATTATACAGGGATTGTTTTCATTGAAAAATGCATTTAGAACACAATTTGATTTGATAAGCGCATACGCTTGAACAGGACACTACAACCCATATAGTACAGGGCCTTAATCAAAAATTGATCAGTATCTTGAAGTAATTTCAATCCAGTTCAATTTTTAACGAGGTCCTATAATGTTGGGCTACAAGTTTTATAGATTCCTAGTTGACTTGTTGTTCCTCACCGTTCACTTAGATTAGGCCTTGAAATAATAATAAATAAATACATTTTCTAGTTAGATCAAATGAATCCCAATTCCAGAATAGCTAGAAAAAATATAAATTTTGTAGTATATTAGAGGTTTGTTAGCAAACAGCTAGTAATAGACGCAGAGATAAGTTTTGTTATAGGGCGAGAGATATTTGTAAAGTAAAGAAATTATTTAGGATGACAACCCTTATCGTACAGTTTCACGTCATTCAAAGGAATGGCTCTGAAAAATATGAAATTAATGTAACATTAGATGTAGGTTGCAAGAGATTGCTAGATCGTGATTTAAGCTTTATACAAGTCAATAACTTTTTTACTGCCTCACTGGTTGCGAGTCCAACAAATAAGCAACGAGGTCCCGAGTTCTTGACTTGGATCCTAAGATTGAGTTATTGGATTTCCAAATTGAGAATAATAGCACGAAGTACACAGACCTTAACTTGACTGACCAGAGTAGGTGTTACTCGGATTGTCCATCTCCCTCTGGGAAAAAATGTGTTAAAGTAATTTTTGTGAGCATTGGCTGTCTATGTATCTACACCCATAAATAACTATTTGGGTAGTTATATATTGACCTAAAATGTTTGGTTATGAGATGTCTCCCTTTACCGATAAGTGTGGAAAAGCCCCATGTGTGTTTCGGCGCGAATTGCTCGACCAAATTGATATCATCTTCTAATTCGTCATCACCAAAAGACCGGTAGCGCACTTGTACCTCTGGTGTTCTGTGATCCCATAGATGTAATGAATATATTTCTGTGGTTAGATCCATATGCTCGTTTACCGGCTTATCATATAAAAAATATAGGTAGGTACAGTCGAAATGAGTAGATACCTCCTTATTTTAAAATCGGTTAACAGTAAGTTCCAAGCTTAGTTAAACTCATGTAAAACGCTTTGCTTCCTCACAAATGAGATAGCTAATGTATGCTTGAAATTGTTGATAACAGTAATGTTATACTCAATACAAAGTACCTATGCGAAATGTAATGTATGGACTGACATCTCCTTAGCAATACATTTAGTGTAAGTTGACGCGTCGTGCTAGTTTAGCCAAACACTTTAAATATGCAAGTAATGAGTTGCAACCCAAGCTTGCATTACTATGAGGTTTTCATTGAATAAGTTAGTCGAAAATTACTACGCCTTGGCTTCTCTGACAAACAGATTGATGGACAATTCTAATTTCGAAGCTTCGAAAGTGCCTGAACATGAATTGATTGAGAAAAAAGTTTGACTAGACTTCACGAAAATGAACAGAAATATCTTAAATATATTTTCTTAGGTAATAATGTTTCGTTGACTAGCCGATGTAAAACAATGTAAGACGAGTATTTAACCCAATACTGTAAAATTATCGGCAAGAATATCTAAAAAAGAATATATTTATATGAGCAAGCTCTCAAATAAATATTTAACAATAAAAAAATGTCGATGTAAATAATTTTGATTCACTATTTATTGTTTAATGCTCATAAAATATTTTTTTTATAATTAAAATTATAATATAAACAATACAATTGTAAAAGATACCAGATAACTAATGCGAAAATTAATGTACAACCATAACAAAACAATGATTTCATATTGTAATTATTTATTTTTTTACAATAAGTGAGAACAATCATTCCTTAGTCTATGTATAAATAATAATTGGACGGAGAATTTGTTACAATAACTGTTATTATAGCACAGTATTTAATAATAGTAATATTACGAATAAACGTTTTTACAAATAAAACAATGACGAGTAATTTTTTGTTTTTCAATTTCATCAACCAAAACTTGATGTATCACGTTAACTTGATAGTAGTTGATAGACATCAAAATCATAAAAGAAATTTGTTTAGTATTTTATTCTTTTTTCTAATATTTAAATTCATTAGTATTTTTGCAAATATTTACCTTCTAAAATATCAAATAAAATTATACTTAATATTGTTACTTAATTTTCTATAGCTTCGCTATTCTAGTTTAATAAATGTACCTAAATATAAATAAAATTATTTCTCATAGTAAATCGATTATATTTCAAAATACTGAAAAACTGTATTATTATTGTTAGTCAAAGATAAATAAGTATGGTACATAACTCAAAAAATTATGATCCCATGCCTAAAGTGCAATCACAAGTTATTTAGACTATAGTAGGAAGCTACTCCCTTACAAACATTACTAGTTAGACAAATTTTTCAATCATTTTTAGTCACAGTAAATATGTATCATAGAATTTGTGAAGTTTATAATAAATGTTTTTTATGAGATATATTTAACAGACATTTTATGTATACCATTAGAAATATACCCCAAGACCAACCTATTCCTGACTTTCTTCAGCCAATTCCTGGAGCAAGGAGTCCACAGTCCACACAGTATCAGCGGAGTCCATCTCCTCCTGAGGTATGTAAGAGTTGAGTACTTCTAGTACAGCTTCAATGCTCCCAGCAGCTCCCGATATTCCACCTCCAACTTCAGAAAGTGTGTTCACTGTTTCTGTGTCTTTTTGATCAGACCTGATCATTGGAAAAGGAAAGAGTATTGTTTATATATTCATTGATACATACATACTTCACACTTGTCTTCCATGGGGATAAACACATAGACTATGTTACACTAATATGACACTAATTGCTATTATATCCTTACAGATGAGCAAATGAGGTATGTAAGAATGTAAGTTCATAAATTAATTAATTGATACTGTTTTACTAAAAGGGGATGATTTTTCAGAGAAATATTCAAAATGGATAAATACAGAGTAATAACTGATACATAGTATTTACTCAATATTTATTACTTAGTATTAACTCAGTCAGTTATTTACATACAAATTTGTATTTTCAAAGGTCTTTTTTTTAAGGGAGAAAATTAATCATTGAATGACTTCTCCCGCCTAGGTGAGGCGAGAGGGATTGTCAGACTCTTACTGACTTAAAACCACCCTGTTCCTACTCCTGCACTTCGAGCCGTAGCCTCGGTAACCCATTAGGTCCTCCGCGACAATCTCAAAGGTCTGCAACTACCTATTATACTTACACCGGTGGTGTAGTTATTTCTTTTTCCAAGATATCTTGCAAATCATCTAGATCTGGTATTGTTGGTATATCATCACTGGAATCTGGCGACTTCTTAGGTATAACGAACTCTCTAAAACAAATTGTTAAAAAAATTAAATACATGTTACAAAATTTGTACACTTCGTTAAAAATATTTAAATGAAGTTTGTACAGATCATTACTTCGCTTCGATGTGTGTGCCTTCCGCCCAAACGCCTACTTTTTTAGGCTCAGGTACGTTTGCGTTTAACTCATTCATTGTTGAATTGAATTTTAATTGAAAACAAGCTGTCTAAGAGTCTTGTATTTTTTTGTTTACATTCAATTTTACAAGTTCCATTCGCACATTCTTAAATGCGTGCGACACATTTTGAATATTTCTTCCTATGTGCCTACTCTGTTTTCCACGCGTTTAGTTCTATTTCCATCTCATTTTCCCATGCTCAAAATAAAACAATTCTACAAAGGAGTAATCGCTGCCATGGCAACAGGTGCCAATAATGAATGACATTGACAGTTTAGTGTTACAAGCTTATAACTTAAGCTCCAATTTCTTTAACATCTGTGGTACTGTACTCGTAATTCGTATCACTATCGTACTATCTATCGTATTCATATTACCTACTATTAACTTAACTAAATTAACTCGTATTACTTGACTGATAATTTTATTTAAGTTTTCTTGACGTAAATAAGTAACACAACAAGACACAGTATTATACCCGTTATTTGTAATTATTATTAGTTCTATAAAATTCAAATTCAAATTCAAAATTTTTTATTGCATATCATGTGTACAATTGTTGGTGTTACATGAGGTACAGTTTCAACATGAAACCCGGCTAGGGCACAGCAACATATGGAGCAAAATATAATCTAACTAAACTACTATTAATAGTTATTATATTATAACATAAGAAATGTTTTTTTTCTTACTAAATATTATCTTTTTTTTTATAATATGTATTTACATAAATTTCTTAATAATGTATAGGTGTTATTGTATGTAGTACATGTATTATTATATTTAATATGATTTTTATTGAGTAGGTAGGTATGCATTGAGTATTAAGTTTTGCTCCTGATTACAATAGTCAGATCGTTTTTTTCTAAACAGCCAAAGAAATTTCAGAGTACCCACGTGTCAGATTCTGCTACAAAGTTTGCAATGTCTAGCCATGAAGCCCTTTAATATTATACATACAAGGATCGAACTTCAGTTCTTGGATCGTTCAAGGTAAAAATAGCAACAAATAAAAAACAATCAATTAAAATTAAAAAGTATATATTCTAGAGGTATAAAAAATTAATTTACGTTAAACACTAATAACAACAATGTAATAAAATTTTAGTTACATGTAACATAATATATTAATATTATAACTAATAGGTAGATATACAAGCTAGATATTTAATTTTAATAGTTTGAGGTAGGTATATCGAAAGCGAAATCTTGTGTAATACATTTTCCGCTCACTTCAATTTGATTAGGTAGGTAAGTACGTGTTACACGGATTTTTAATACTATTTACAATCATGTTTATCAAAATTCCTATTGTTCTTGTCTTTGGTAAAATTAGGAACTTACACCGAAATACTTAAAAGTAATAGAAAAAATAGACTTATTATGCCGGAATACTGAAACGTTACTCAATTTTAAGTCGTGCTCAAACATCGTGCCGTCTCTGTCATTTTACAAAGAATTTGTAGAGATAAAACTATACTTAAGCACGACTTAAAATTGAGTAGCGTTTCAGTATTCCGACACTAGTGTTTTAGCCGTTCGGTAGTGGCAGGGTAGGAGAGGAGCGCTGCTGAACTAGGGACTTGGTATGCGAATACTGCTATGGAGATCGCCTAATAATTGTAGAGATTATGCCTAACACACATATATAAAGGAGGCTCAGTTCAGCAGTTGATGATGTATGTAGCTGACTGTTGATGATGAATAATAGTTAATATATTTATCTACTAACTTACATTTACTAAGCCAATAAATGGATACTCATAAAACAATATAATAAGACTACTCCTCTAAAATACATATTTTTGTTTGATTTATCATCGTATTGTAACTTTCGTGAGACATCTATATAAATAAAAATGAATTTCTGTTCGTTAGTCTCGCTAAAACTCGAGAACGGCTGAACTGATTTGGCTAATTTTGGTCTTGATAGGTTCGTGGAAGTCTAGGGAAGGTTTAAAAGGTAGAAAAACCTTTTAGGCGGTACGAAGTTTGCCGGGTCAGCTAGTACTTAATATATACTCGACTAGTTTCAACCCATGCTAGAGGCTCATATTTATGAGCAGCATTTCGCGACCCGCGACGCGGCGGCTGTCGCGCTGCTAGTCTGTCTGTCAGACTGTCAGTAGCAGCGCGACAGTCAGTCGACATATAAGCCTCTAGCACGACTTGAAACTAGTCGAGTTCCTCGTCAAATAATTACGAGAGTAAGCCGAAAACATAATATTATATAATATATTCATCATTCTTTGTACCTATGTAGGCAGTAGGCCAGGATGTAAATTGTGATGACACTGCATATGACAGACTAAAATAAACCTTAAGACTAAAAAATTGAACACTTTACTTAATGACATCAGTTGATTTCATCACTATCTTTAAAATCAGTCCTCACTTAATCTGTTACTTTTTTTGGTGGTTCTTCTCCTTTGTCGTCCCAGTCTTGGCAGAGTAGCTTTGTGGTCTTGGACATTAACTAGGGATTCCATTTTCTTAATCAGTTACATATACATTAAATTAGACAGCTAGTTTAGAGATATACAGGATGTCCCTGAAGTCGACGATCAAATGCCACCAAAAATATTTAAAAAATGGTGTTATCCACGAAAAAGTACACCCTGTGCCAGTCTTTTGACTCTTGTTGCTATAATTCTTTATTTATTCGTCTGCAGTTTTGCTTACGTTATCCTGAATAGTACTTCAGTATAATTGAATTATAAATTCTGAGCCAACTGCTTTAGTTTGGAAAAGAATTTTCTTTTTGACGAATCAAGTGTTCTTAATAAATTATTCACGTTACTGCCATTTGATCGTCGAACAGCAGCGGCAACAAGATTCGGCTTTGGCTCCCCTAGAGGTATATTAACGCTACGTAACGATAGGTACTCGTTTTGTTCATAAAACGTTGAGGTGTTCCTATAGCTAATGGAATAATACCCCTTTTGCGTATAATATACTTATAATAAAAAAAGATCATCTGAATCATTGCCAGGTAAGCACTCTGCATTTTCGCCGTTATTTTCTACATACATTACTTGTTCGGGTTCATTTTGTATTCGTTTGCAATTTTGGCAAAAGTTGGCTCTGCAGGCGGGGTATGTGCATTGCGTTTCCATCGACATCGACGCGGACTGCATATTCTGTTGCGGATATGCAGGAGATTGGGCATTATTTGAGTAAAACTGTGTATTTGATGACATCCATTGCATGTCGTCTGATATTTCGTACCCGTTATACTGCTCAGATTGCCCGTTCTGAGCGGTTTGTATGTCTCCTTGTAACGGCAGCAAAATATTTGATTGCGCTGGTACATTATAGGACATTTGGTCCGCGTTTGTTAGCGTTGATTGCGTATTTTGTGTCATACGGTGCCAATTCGGTGGTTGTGTGGACTGCATCATATTCTGTTTCGTTTCTATTATGTGTTCCATTTGTGACCTGCGTAGGTCATCACTATTCATGATTGCTGAGTTAATTTGCGTGTTGTGTAATACAGGCAAATTGATAGAGCTTTGTCTGTAAAATTCACGGTTAGAATGACTAGGTTCTGGCGCAATTTCCAAGAAAGGATTTCCATTATAGGGGACGTGTGTCGATGCTGACCAGCGACTGTCATTATTACTTGGGTTTGCAGTTGATATACCTTGGTCGCTAGCTTGTATGTTGGCATTAGCGTCGTCGTTATCAGTTGGTCTATTCCAGGACAGAGAAGGGAGAAACTGAAATTAGCAAATAATAACAAAATAAGCTTTCGAGTTCCAAGTTTATCCCGGTCGGGAAAAGTTGTATCGGTATTGTATTAGCAGTTGGCTTTTTGTATTTTTGCGGGGAGATCCTATTTATTCTTTTATTTTCTACTTACCAGTTGGAAATCATCAGTGTTAAGGGGCGATGAGTTTCCACAAGCACTGCTCTCTGTAACAATATTGCAAAGATAAAGGAAATATTTCTATTCAATTAAGGTAGGTTAGGGAAGGTTATAAGTTGTCATTTATCTAAACTTACCCTGGTGAAACAGACTTAGAGCTGGATGTATGATTTTCAATTTCTTCCTGTTTACAGTTTCCTCTGAAACAACCAGACAGTGTACATTAATTTTACAATAATCAAGACATAGGTACGTACTTCAAATCCTACCCACGTGCCTTTAGACCCCGCAACACAGAAAAGTTCTTGCTTGCTTGTGAATTAAAAATAAAACAATTATTTTATTATTTATCGAATTGACACTCACTCACCTACGCAGCCTACGCTTTAATGTATTATTTATTCTATCCGACTAAAATAAGAAGGTTCGTTTCGATTATTTTTTTGATAGTTATTTTTTAAATGTCCTCTAATTTATAAAACAAATTCAAAGAGATGGTTAGGTACAATTTTTTTCTACTTTACTTCTAAAGGCCGATTTATCCTTCTTCCGTAGCTAAAAACTGTCAAATGTCAATTTTATTCTATGTATATTAGAGTTAAAGAGTACACACAGGGAGAGGAAAAGTTTTAATACAATGATCTTAAAAAATACGCAGAAATCTTACCATCAGTATCATACGGCAAATAATGAAATTTCTCAGCATTGCTTCTAGTATCGTCTGATTTTCTCCTCAATTCAAAGTAGACCTAGTTACAAACAAACAACAATATAATGTAGATTGACATCACAAATAGATAACGGTACGGACCTAAATACATAATATGGATAAGGTACTCGCACACTACCTCAGATACAGTGACGAAAAAAATATATAATAGGTAAGTATGAAATAAAACTCTAATTATTATGTGTTCGGCTAACTCATGTAACTTTTTGACAAGGAACTCGACTAGTTTCAGTAGCAAAGCAAGTTGGACATTTCAGTAGCAGCGCGACAGTCACCGCGTCGCGGGTCGCGGAATGCTGCTCATGAATATGAGCCTCTAGCATGGCTTGAACTGGTTGCAACTAGTGGTCGGAAACTAGAGCTTTTCTCAGTATATTCACGTAAGTAACCCGAAATTTTAGTTAATTTAGTATGTCTCACGATAGTTCGAAAAAAGTATTGAATTTGACTAGTTTGCAAGTACCCAACTAATTAGTAGGTATGTCTCACGAAAGTTTCATAAAACTCTAATGTTTGATCGTATACGCAGCGCAGTAGATACTTACAGTAACACTTTCCTTGATGTCCGTGTCTCGGTAGGGCGGCGCGAAACAGTACAGCGACTGAGTGCCGTGCACCTTCAACCCCATCGCATGAGACTCCCATGCCGGTTCATGGTCAGTAGGCTTCGTGAAGAATACTACCTCAATCTCCTCCTTTACCTGAAATAACTGCAGTGTGATAACAGCTCAAGAATCGACGAGAGTGACGCTCTGTAACTTTTAGAAACATTGAAAATGAACACAAATCATTAGGAGGTAGAATAATGCTTAGGTACCTACAGCGAGTAATAAGATAAACTAGCTAATGGGCAAGGTGGAAAAATACGGTGAATGTAAAACGTCGTTCTTGTAAAATATGTGGAAGTATTAGAGTATAGCATAGCACTGACCACAGAACACAAGATGATAACTTTGGCCCCGCCCTTAGCGCTGCCTGACCCGGGGGCGTAATGGTGTATTTGTGGCTTGGTAGATCTCCTCGTGTTATAGATAGGATTAGACACTATCGGCTCCAATACTTTCTTGCACCTGCGTAGTTTCACTTCGAAACACAGCCGCAGCTCAGTAAGGGTGAAGTCCTTGGTAAGTTCATGTCTGAACCCCTCTGTAATAAATTAATATTGACAATTTTGTCTGTTGTTCAACCAATGTTCCATATATACAGCTGTGATTGTCATACGACATCTATGACAGTCGTTATAGTTAGTCAAAAAATGACGATGGGTCTAAACCACAGAACATATAAGTCTAAACAATACCCTCTATAACCCGCTAAGAATATTATGTAATTTTCATATCATTCATTTATATTATTATGTAATTTATTCTTGCAGTATATTGAGGTTAATTATCGTGTGTAACGGGGTACTTAGCAAATATTGATTAGAAGTATTGTAAAAAAAATGTATGACAAGAGCGCGGACCAATAGTCCGTGGAGAAATAATATGTAATATTAAATATGTATATGGTAGTCCCGATTCTTTCTATTTTACTTATAATACGTGTCGGTACACTTTACAAAAACAAGCTGAGAAACGACTTTCAGATATTATTAAACTGAACTTAAGATTAAAAATGGGAGAATTGTTAAAATGTATTGAACTCACGTTGAAAGGGATCAATTCTCTGAACTTCTCTAATCCTGAGCGCATGTTTGTAATCAGCAGTCTTTACCCTTATGATGCGAATGTCGTTGAATACAATCGTATTATTCCCTGGACGGAGCTCAACTTCTTTTGAGTACACGTAGGAGTAGCAATTCCTGCCCATCAGTCCGTTGGGATGAGCTCTGTGTGGTTTCAATAAAGCTTTAATGTTATATGGGGTTTCCTCAAGTCTATGCAAAATGTTATTTAGAATACTCGTATATGTCTCGTAGATATCAATAAAAACGTACACACGGAAACGTTTCTATGATATCATAGTTCAATGGATTTAGGTCCTTGATACTCCAGCTCTTTTCTTATTGTGGAACGAACAACCTTCACTAATGGACTGAATGTAGAACCAATTAAATTTTGATGTACTTTTATATTGCTATCATCTATATTACCAACTGTCCGTTACAGGCTATTGGTGGAGTATGAACCTCCTCTACACACGATTTGGATTGCCACAAGCTTGCCTGGTCGGCGATGGCGGCGATAAAAAATAATAATAGTGAAGTAAGGTGCCCAAAAGACTGGCAGCATTGCCACGTTGAATGGCAATGCTTAACCTTTGCCCAAGGTGTACCCAGCCCTTAACTTTAAAGCCGTGTGACCCAAGCGCACATCTTCTTTACAAAGATATTGTAAGGAGGATGGTTGACACTTCAGGTGATCGAATGGCTGGCTATTTAAAGCCTTGACTTAAATTTTAGGAATCGTCGACTTACCTAAATGGTTTGTTGGCAGTGACGGTTGAAATGACGACGAGTGCTTTGTCATGCTTCTCTACATTGTTTACCATAAGCGTGGGGTATGTTGTAATTTCATCATCGTCACCTTCAGTGGTAGCCTTTGCACCTTGGAGTACGGTTGTTGAAGTCAATTCGTCTTCGTAACGAAATCTGTCAACATCGACAAATGGTTACGTAAACAAAAAAGCTTCTTTAGCATAAGTTCACCCTACTCCAGAATCAGGCAAACTTTTAAAATTGAAGAACCAGATGCAGGTCGTGGAGTCGCGGAGAACCTAACGGGTTACCGGGGCACAGGCTCGAAGTGCAGGAGTAGGAACGGGGTGGTTTTTAGTTAGTAAGAGTCTGACCCTGCCTCCCGCCTCACCTAGGCGGGAGAATTAATTAGATGACTCTCCCACTTTAAAAAAAATCGTATAGGTCGTAGATAAATGCGACTGTTTTTCATCACTATTCATGTTCCACCTGATTCTGTTTTTGAAGGATAGGTAGTTAATATTACTTTTGGTGTTGTTTACCCAAGCACTAATTAGATTGCACATCTGTTATGTTTATGTTATCCACCTACTAAGTCAAGAGATTAAAAACATGCAAAGTTAAAGTTCAAAAATACAACAATATTATTGCAATAACAGATATTGTTATTTTTCCTAATGATTCGGGTCCACCCTGACAGTTCCCAAAAATAGCATCGAGATGGTGATAAGGCTGACCTGAGATAAGTCTGTATCCGTAGTTCGTCCCGTACATAGACACTACATAGGTAAATAATCAAAAACAATAATATTATTGAGATTTATATCAAAAAAGGAATGTTTACGTTGTGATCATGATTTTGTTGTTTTGGATTCCATGGCATAACATCCCGCCTTTACCCTCTAACTAAGAGATAGACAGAGGTGCACAATTGCACATTATGACACTTATTGCCACTGTACAATGTAACACCCACTTTTTACTATTTAGGTATGTTATTATTCCTCTGTAATAGGGGGTGAGCTTATTGTCGGGCAGCGCGAGCACAATTCTAGATTTCGACACTTTGCCCGATTCGGGAAATGAACCCGAGACCCCCTGCCAACCGGTCAACGACGCAGTCAAGTAGATATATATGTAGTTTAGTATAAGAATTGTGATAGACTATATA